AACCACACACTGTCACTCATTCATAGAACAGTTCACACACGGTGGCAGGGAGAAGGGCTGTACTGTTGTACAGGCAAGGACAGACCCTAAGATCCAGGGTGGTAACACTAAAACGGGAAATTATCAGAACAGGGGAGCCTTGGGAACATTATTGCAACTTACGACTACACTGACTACTACACTGCACTGATTCTTCTGTTTGTCACTTGTCCAGTCTCCACTTTGTCGGTGTTGTCCGAGGCTCCATTTGCCACAAGGATTCCAGACCTCTGCTGGGAAATTGGGTTAAACCAGTGAGACACTGGACTATCCTTGGGCTAGAGACCATGCTGTGCGGGTAAGCTGCACTGGCAAAGAATGTTTCGAAGAGCGAGGTGAAAAAAAAACAATGGACAAATGTGGACAGACAGTGAAACCGCAACTGGTTTGTGGTAGCTAGATGCAGCTCGTTCTGTTTCCAGTTGGGCTTGGGCAATTTCATTCCAGCTCAAGCCGCAAGCCGCTTTAAACAGTCTGCTGCAGTCTGCCAGAAGTTCCACTGACTACTGTAGCTGCTAGCTTGAACAACTGAACAACAATTGAACAATGTTGCAGTAATTACTGGTCACCAAGCTTTCCTGTCATTCCTTTCATCACTTGGCCGACCTGACCATGGCACCAAAGAAGAGATCAGCTCCAGATGCCAAGGCCAAGGCTGAAGCTAAAGCTGAGAGAGAGAAGGAAAAGGCAGCGAAGGCTGCAGCGAAGGCGGCAGCCAAGGCTGCAGCCAAGGCTGCAGCCAAAGAGAAAGCCAAGACCAAAGCAGCCAACAAAGCTGCTCCCAGGACCAAGGCAGCTGCAAAGTCCAACGCAAACAAGCCTGTGGCCAAAGCCAAGGCACAGGCCAAGGCTGTGGCTGAGCCAACTCAAAAACGAAAGCGGTACCCTAGCATGAGGATGAGCTCAAAGCATTGCGATTTGAGTAAGAGGCCTCGAATCCAGAAGAAAAACATCTTCACAAAGTTTATTGCGCGCAAGGACCAAGTGCCTGAACCACCTCAGTCTGTGCCCCAGGGACAAGTGCCTGGACCACCTCAGTCTGACTCATTGCCTGAGTCACTGGAGAATGAGATTTTGGAGGAGCTTGACTTTGCTTTGCAAAATGGGTCGCAAGATGCCAAGGAACCAGAACCAAAGACAACCTTGGATGGCATGGTAACCTTGTTG